TTCTGTTCCCACCACTCTATTGAGAGCTCTTGCTGCAGTCACCAATCGCTGCCTTGGGGCTAAATCTGATGTACACATCAACAGGGGACACTGTTGACCACCCCAGATGTTTTAAACATTCCTTTCCTTTGGCTTTCACATCATCTTTCCCTGGTGGCAGCTAGCATTTTGTTGCAGCCCTTTTAATGTGGTGAGATTGTAAGAAACAATCTATTAACCTTCCAACTTTAAAAACCTGTTGTCAATGAATATGTGAAACAACACTGTTAGCTCATCTCTGAGCCTTACAGCATTGCTGCTCCCATGGCAGAAAAGCCAGGAGTAAGAGGACTGAGTAGGGAGGTGAGGAAGGGGTCAAATCTGGCAGCATCTGGCAGGATGCCACCACCTGTAATACAGTCACGCGTGCACCACATCTGTTCATCTCAGCAGGAGCTGTTTGATATATCTGCTCATTTTCTCAGAATTAAAAAAAAAACTTGAGGGAAAGAATATTTGGATTAAAATGTGGGCCCATTTCACAACCCCAGATGCAGTGCCAATCGGACTCTAGGTCATACACATACCTTATATTCTATGCACATATAGCTAATATCGCAAGTGATATAAAATATGGGAGGGGGTCCTGACTGGTGTGGCTCGGTTGGAGCGTCGTCCTGTAAACTGAGGGGGGGTCACAGGTGCGACCTCTGGTCAGGGCATTTGCCTAGGTTGCGGATTTGGTCCCTGGTCGGGGCACGTAGGAGAGGCAACTGATCAATCCTTCTCACATTGTTGTTTCTCTCCCTCCTTTCCCCTCTCTCTAAAGTCAATGAGCGTTTCTTTGGATGGGGATTAAAAAGAAGAGTGTAAAAAATCTGGCCCTGGCTGGTGTGGCTCAGTGGATTGAGTGCAGCTAGTGAACAGAAAGGTTGCTGGTTTAATTTCCAGTCAGGGCACTTGCCTGGGTTGTGTGCCAGGTCCCCAGTTAGGGGCATGTGAGAGGCAGCCAATTGATGTATCTCTCCAACATCGACATTTCTCTCCCTCTCTTTCTCCCTCCCTTTTCCTCTCTCTAAAAATAAAGAAATACAATCTTTTAAAAAACTTGGCGGGGGGGGGGGTGCCGCATTAATGCTTTTTTAGAGGCAGAATTCTAATCATTAGAATGTATCTTTATTCTATTCTATATAATCATTCCATCCAGTTTCTGGGATTCCAATTACCGTACACACATATTAGACCACTTGATACCATCCCACAGGTCACCACAGCTCGGTTCTGTTTCCTTCACCCCACCCCCAGGTTTTTTTCTTTCTGTGCTTCATTTTGACTTTTTCTTTTGCTGTGTCTTCCAGGTCAGCTGATCCTTTTTCCCCCTGCAAGTATGCTGTTAATTCCATCCAGTAGATTTTATATTTAAAATACTGTATTTTCACTCTGGCTGGGTAGTTCTGTTGGTTCAAGTATCATCCCAATACACCAAGGTCATGGGTTTGGGCAATTATAGAGTTATCCCTTTTATTTCACCAACATTTGGTATTGTCTCTGTTTTAGATTTCTTACCATTTTAATAGATGTGTAATGGTATCTAAATGTTGTTTTAATTTGCAATTCTCTGATGACATGATATTGAGTATCTTCTCAGATACCATTTGACACCTGCATATCTTTGATGAGCCATCTGTTTAGATCTTTTTTCCATTTTTTTAATTGTTTGTTTCTTATTGTTGAATTTTAAGAGATATATATATATATAATTCATCCTTACTTGAGGACTTTTTTTCATTGCTTTTATTTTTCTTTTTAAGATTTTATTTATTTACTTTCAGAGATAGGGTAAAGGAGGGAGAAAGGAAGGGAGATAATCATCAATGTGTGAGACATACATTGATTGGTTGCCTCTCACACGCCCCCAGTTGGGGACCTGGTCCGAAACCCAGGCATGTGCCCTGACTGGGAATCAAATCTGCGACCTTTTGGTTTGCAGGTTGGCGCTCAATCCACTGAGCCACACCAGCCAAGGCTTTCATTGCTTTCAGAGAGAGAGAAAAAAGAAGAGAGAGAGAGAAAAAAGAAGAGAGAGAGAGAAAAACAATCAATGCGAGAGAGATTGATTGGTTGCCTTCTCATTCATGCCCTGACTGGGAATTGAACCTACAGCCTGGGTATTTGCCCTGACCAGGAATCGAATCCATGGCCTTTTGGTCCACAGGCTGATGCTCCAACTAACTGAGACACTGGCTAGAGCTGTATATTTTGGATAGCAGTCCTTTATCAGATATATCCCTTGACAATATTTTCTCCTGGGCGGTGGTTTGTCTCTTTCTGTTGAGCATCTCTCATTTTTAATTTTATATCATCTACAGTTTAATTTTTTTCAGTGACCAAATAACTTTTAAAGATGGCTTTATTTTACATACCATATAATTCACCAACTTAAAGTGGAAAATTAAGTAGACTTAAGTATCTTCACATGATTGTACAACTATCACATTCAAATTCTGGGCTTTTTTATTGCCCCTAGAAGAAACCCTGTCCCCGTCAGCAGGCATCCCTCACTCTCTACCGCCGCCACTCCTGGCCCCGCGAAACCACCAATCTACTGTGTGTCTCCATAGATTGACCCATTCTAGACATTTCATACAAATTGAATCATGTAATAGGTAGCCTTTTATAACTGGTTTCTTTGACTAACAATGTTTTCAAGGTTCATCCATACTATAGCATGAATCAGTACTTTGTTCCTTTTATCGATGAACAATATTGTATGGCTATGTCATATTTTACTTATTCATCACCTGATGGGCATTTGGGTTGTTTTCAACTTTTTAGCTAGTATGAATGATGCTGTTGTCAACATTCACGTGCAAATTTTTGTGGGGACATATGTTTTCATTTCTCTTGGGAACAGACCTAGGAGCAGAATTGCTGGGTCAGATAACTGTCTATTTAACATTTTAAGGAACTGCCAAAATGTTTTCCAAAACAGCTGCTTCACTTTACATCCCTACCAACATTATGTATAACTTTTGAAATTAAATAGATACCCTTTTTAAAGAACTCTAGTGTTTCAGGTGGAACATAGTATGTGTTCAGAAACTTTACGGAAGAATGAATGTGTGGTTTGAGTGAGGAGTGGGAATGAACATGGGAAATAGAGTGGGGAATTAGTTTGCCCTTGACAGTAACCTTCACTCCAGCACTAGCTGGCCAGGCCTCTCTGAGCCCCATGTAATTCCCAAACAGGATCAACCAACCTCTTCTGAGCCTGAGATTGACCTGGAGGCTCTCATGGAACTATCCGCAGAGGAGCAGAAAACTCAGTTGGAGGTAGACTGGGAGGCTGGGCCCCAGGCCCAGGGGTTGTGGTTGGAAGCTGGGCTTGGACCAAGGAGAACCCAGGAACCCAGGCTCTGCCTCCTCAGGCAGAGTGGGGAGAACCAAATGAGAGGGAAGAATTCTTGGAGGACTGAGTGGGGGCTGGTGGGAAAGTGCTGTGGCTCAGGTATCCACTGTCTGTCTCCTACCCAGGCTGTTCTCCAAGACTGTCCCCGCCCCACAGAGGTAAGGACGCTTTGCTGTTCTGGGGTAAGAGGGTACCCAGTGGGGAGGCAGCTAATGAAAGGGGAGCTTGGCTTTGTGTCTTTTCCCCTTCCCTGGCTCTAGGGAGGCGATGGATGGGGTAAGAGATGAGGGAGGACAGTGTGGTGGATGGGCATGGCTCCATGCCTCAGTCTTACCTGTTTCTCCCTCAGCCTTTTATTTCTGAGCTACTCAGTCAACTCAAGAAACTGCGGAGACTCAGTCGGCCTCAGAAATAAGACACGGGAGACTACATCCAGCAGCCTCAGCACCGTCGGGCCTGCTCTGAGCCTCTGGATCCTGGGCCAAAAGGGAAGTGGCTCCCTGGGGCACGGACGAGGAACACTGAATGATGAAGAGGGAAATTAGGACACCCCTATTGTATATAGTTACAGCTAGTTCTTGTCAGCTGGGCTTTCTGTGAGCCAGTCACTCTGTAGCCCAGTGCTTTCCTTGACAGCCAAATGGATAAACCTTTGGGAGCCCTGGCTGAATGGAGTGTGAAGTATATCTGTGCTGAGGGATGGGGGAGCGAGAGGGTGAAGTGATATACCAGAAGGCCAGCATCCTGAGTCACTACACTCTATCCAAATACTTCATCCATCCATCCATCTGTCCGTCCATCCATCATCCATCCATCCATCCATCCATCCATCCATCCAAATAGTCCTTGAGAATTTAAAGATGAAGGTCACAGTTCTACTTCAGAGAGATCACAATTCAGCAAGGCCCAGAAGCTAAGATGCAAAGCATCCTAGAATCAATGAGAGAAGCCCAAGTGGCAAAGGCTGGTTTTGAATCCCAAAGAGGCAACAGGAAAAAACTTGGGTCTGGGGCATCAGGGAAGCCTAAACCCTCCTAACCTCTAAATGATGCAGGAGGCCTCAGGTTGAGGACCCTTTCTTGAGCTGGCCCCAGCCAGAGGAAGGGGAAAAAGAAGGGGCTAAGCAGAGGGATGTAAATGGGTACAGAAGAGGCCAGGGATCAGGTCAGGAGGGAGTTGCTGGGAACAGACACTGCATCAGAATGGCAGGCAGGTTGGGACAGGAGCACAGGGAGGTGGTGTCCTCTGGGAGCAGGGCAGGAAGCGGGGAATGCACCCATTGTGCATGCAGCGTTTGAGTGCTAGGGAGGCTGACAACCCAAGGTCGCTCTGGGGCCTGCTGGGCTGCCCAGAGCAGATACACAGTTTAGTTCAGTTGAACGAATACTCATGCCTGCTGCCTGTGAGGCCTCCTAGATGGGTGGTGCTGTTCCTGACTGGAGAATCTTACGATTCCATCCTTTCCGTCACTCCGCAGGTGTGGACTTAGAATCTACTCTGCCTTTGCCACCTCTCTAAGGGCCCAGGCTCAGGGCCTACAGGGTTCTAGAGATAAAAGATACTGAGCCCTGGGAGTCAACGCACTTTATTTGATACACTAAGTGCTAGGGCCCTTGAGCAGGTTTCAAGGCCCATACTTAGATTCAGTTTGGTCTTTCCAGTCTAGGCTTTGCTGGTGGAGGGTTCCTGACTTCTGCCTTCCCTCTGGCTCCACCATTCATCATCTCCAATGGAAAATCTTTCTTCATTCCAGGGACACCGAGGCTCAGGAAAGGGTGCACCCACGAGCAGTCTAGCCTGACATGCTCTCCCATCAGATGCCCTGAGGCTGGGACCAGAGGTGGGTGTTGCAGCTTATGTGACTGCCTGTAGGACTGCCTTCCCCAAGGACCAGCATTTCCTTAGTGCTCTTGGCCTGCATGTGAGGGGCGGTAAACAGATGTCTGGTGCTCTTTAAGTTCAAAGGCATCATGGCCTTCCCTGTGGAACAAAGAGATACAGCTCAGGGATCACAGGTGGGCCTTGAACACTCCCAGCCCCAACAGAACGTTCTACCTGCACCCACCGGAAGCAGCGGACACAGTAGAGGTCTCCATCGCAGCCAGCACAGCGAAGGGTGGCGTCCTCATTGCAGATGCAGCACCAAGGGAGCTCCTCTTCCTCAGCTGCAGGCCTTGGGGCCACAGCCTGCGCCTTCAGGGAGCAGAGAGGGGTGGGGGAAGGTCCCTGATGGAGTATGCGTGGGTGGGAGGGCGGCTGCAGGAGCAGTCCGCCAGTCAAGAGGGAGGGCGTGGAGGCCGCCTAGGGGTCTGTGTCTGGGGCTTTTCTCACCTCCGGTTCTCCCCTGCCGGCCTTGGCCCTGGGTTGGAGAGCCGCCTCTGCAGGGCTGTTAAAGCCACTCGCCTCATCCAGGGCAGCTTCTTCAGTGAGCTGTGGACAGGGCAAAGAGGTGCAGCTCCCTGCTTGTGGCCCAGCTCCTCCCCAACACCCCTGAAGCTTCCACTGCCTTAGCTTCTCAACCCATCTTCCTTTATCTGTTGCTTGTGGCTGCTGATACCCCATCTCAAGGGGCCAGGGTGCAAGTCTAGGTCACAGGGACGATGTGGCTCTACTAGAACAGGAGCTGCAGAGTGACTGGCCATCCAGTCCCAGAGTGGAGGCAGGTTGAACAGGGCCAGGGGGGTGGTGGGCAGTGCGGTAGGGACAGGACAAGGGGCGGGCAGGAGGGTAAGGCAGGCCCACCTGTTGCAGGACTCTCTGGATGGCTCTCTCCTCATCCTCACTGTCATCACTGTCTGGGAGATGATAGTCTTGGAGGGTCACTTGAAGAAGGACAGAGGTAAGAGCAGGGGGGGAGGGGTGAAGTTGAGAGTTCATCTGAGTGACTGCACTCTTGCCACCAGGAGCTGGTTCGGTTTCCAGTGGCACTTGTTCCAGAGCCGAGCAGTCTCTGCAGCCACACCAATCAGACTCTGCCCCTCCCTGCTCCACCCTGCAGGGCTGGGGGGTGGGAACAAAAGGCTCTGCACCTGAAGGGACTGAGAGTCCCCTGTCCCCTGATGGCTGCCTCTTATTCCTCATCCACTGCTTTGTTCCAGTTGTCCTCATGGCTCTGGGCAGAGCTCTACAGATCCCTGGCCACAGGGACCTCTAGCCCTTGATTGAGCCTAGGAGCCATTTTGCAGAGCTTGGCTCAGGGGTCGGGGTGGCGGGCTGCCCAATGGACTGGAGTGAGTGTCTGCTCCCCAATTTCTACCTCTGTCAGGGTCCTGTCCCTGGAGCACAGCCAAGCGCTTGGCGAGGGCCAGGATCCGCTCCTGCTTCGTGTTCTCCTCCTGCAGTTTGGCCGCTGCTTCAGCCAGCAGCCTGCTCTCCTCCCCATCCTGCCCCTGGGAGCCAGTGCTCTGGCCCCCTGCTCCACCCTGGTTGAGGTCCTTCTGGATAGAGGTAGCTGGAAGGAGCAATGACATTTCAGGGAGGCAGAGACATTCCAAGATCTCTCATCAGAAGCTACTGAGCCCATTTTTCAACTTTTTATAAAAACCCACAGAGCATCAGCTTTTTGTTCAGCACTAGCTCCTGCAGTTTATGTTACAAATAACTATTTCCTCCATTTTTTTCCCAATGTAAAAAACTGGTAATCTTAGACTTTTTTCCAACCACATTCATCCCCACCCACCTCAGATTTTAACATGCTGTCCTTAGGGCTGGCATCTCATGGCATGAGAACTGCTGCCCAAAAGGAACAGGACCGGGGGAAGCCAAGGTGCAGCCAGTGCCGCTGCCTTACAGGCTGGAGTTATCATTTCCAGGAAGCAGCACACAGAGGACATGACAGAATCTGAGGTCTTCCGTGTTACTAGGCTAGAAGAATTTTGCCGGAATGGGTGTGGCTCTGACATGTTCTCTTCAGCTCAGTTTCAGAGCAAGAGGTTTGAAAACAGACAGCTTTGGGTTCAAGTCCTAGCTTTGTTACTTACTAGCTGTGTGACCTTGATCAAGTTTTTAAGCTCAACAGGCCTCAGCTTCCTCATTTATGCAATATGGATAACAAGAGTATGCACCTCACAGGATTACTGAGGATGTTTAATGAGATCATGTCTCTCTAAAGCAGGGTTTCTCAATGTTGTTTCTATTGACACTTAGGGCAGGATAATTCTTTGTTGTGGGGCTGCCATACATCATTCATTGTATGATGTTTTAGCAGCATCCCTAGTTTCTTCTCACTAGATGCCAGTGGTACTTTCTGAGCTGTGATAACCAAAAGGTCTTCAGACACTGTCAAATGGACCCTGAAGGGGAACTCATCCTTGGTTGAAAACCCCTGCTCTGAAGCCTTTGAAGAGCACAGTCCAACGAAATTTTTTATGATGGGAACATTCCATATCATGGTTATATTTATACTGTCTAAGATGGCAGCCATGAGTCACATGTGCCCACTGAGCACTTGAAATATGGCTAGTACCACTGATGGAACTGAATTTTAGTTAAATTTAAATAGCCTCTTCCTCTTTACCATCATCATTGCAAGACACATTCACTGAGCAATTACTACGAGCCAGTCAGGGTCCTAACAGTTAATTGGATTCACTCATTTACTCCACATAACGTACTTCCCCATGAGGTAGGTTTTACCACATGCACCTCCATTTTACAAATGAGGAAAGTGACACTTTCCCAGGGTCACAAAACCAGTAAGTGGTAGGACAGGGAATCACTGATTCTAAAGCCCACACACTTATCCACTAGGCTTATATCAGCTCCTGATGAAATGACCACTCAATAAATGGTAGCTCTTATATTGATTGTTCTCTGATATATATTCACCTTGAAGAAGGTGGGCAGCAGAGCCTCTCCCACCTGGGGAAAGAGGGCAGGTCCCTGGGGGCCCAGGTGGAGAAGTTACCTGAGCCTCCTCGTTCCCAGCTCTCATCAATAGCCACCTCTGCTGTCAGCTGTGTCAGCAGATCCTGCGCTTGCTGGGCCTGGGTCCTGGTGTCTGGTGTCTGATGCCCCTGCTCAGAGGAGAGACTCTCAGTGGGAATCCGGATAGGGGGGGAAGCCACACTGTAAGGTCCAGAGCAGCCTATGTCAGCGGTCAATGCTGAGGAGTTCCCAAAGATCAGGGAAAAGGGGACTAATCCAGGGCCCACATAATCAAGTGGGTCTGACATTCCCCAACAGGGCCGAGGGGCCATTCTTTCTTGCCCCACCCAATCTTGGCCTGGCAGCAGACCTGAGGGTCAGGAGGCGGGGGTCAGAGGCTTGCCAACTCCTACACAGAACATAAGCCTACAAGTACTAGGACCCTCTTCCCTCTCAAGCCATAGCACTCACCGGCTGGCGGGCCTGAGAAGGTGGAACTCTGCCCTGAAGTGCAGCAAGCCGGGCCTCCATCTCCTGGGTGGAAGGGATGGGACCCCGGGGTTCATCCCTCAGCGCGGCCAGCCTGGCTTCTATCTCTGACTGTGAGGGCACTGACTCTGCAATTGGCATGGGGAGCCCTGTAAGATCCAGAGGAATCCCAGTCCCAGGAGCCTTTAGGCCATCCTGCCTGCTCCCACTCACTGGGCTTCTTCTCCTGGCGGAGCCGTGCTAGGCGCTCAGCGATGAGCTGGTCTTGTTGGGTCAGTCCCTGGCTCTGGGGAGTGCTGGGCTTCTGCTTGGCTTCCAAGGCTGCCACACGCCTGGGAAGACATGGGATAAAGGCTCTTGGAGAAGGCAGAAGGGAGGGGTGAAGGCACCCACTCGCTTTTTCCTATTCAAATCATTTCTAGGCATCTATGGAGGCCTCCCGTGGACAATCTTCTGTGGCCCTCATGCATGTTGTCCTGCAGCTCAACCCAGCTGCCCAGATGGAGGGTTCAACGGAAAGGGCAATGTCTATCAAAAACTTTTTCTGGGGAGAGGGCTAATGGGCTGCTTTCCGATCTCGAGGAGGTGGGCAGGAGCCTGAGAGGTGGATATTCTCCTGACCCTGTGTTCATTTGCTCTAGAGACTGGGAAGAAAGTCCTACCCTAGGGCTCCTTTGTCTCCCCGCCCCCGCCCCCCCCCATCCACATTTGTCTCTGTCCCTTCAGCACTTACTTCTTATAGTTCTGAGGTGGTGACCACTTGGAGGCATTGGCAGGAGAAGATCCTCTGTAGAAAAGAAATCTGGTTTCAGAAGTCCTGCCATCTGCTAGTCACTGCCCCCCACCCCAAACTGGGCTGGGCTGACCTCTGGCCACAAAGTACAGGCTGCAAGGGCTGGCCAGCTGCCTGCTGCCATGCCTGGCTGAATACTCACCCACATCGGCTTCTCACCTGGTCAGGACCTCATGGCACTGCTTGCACACTTTCTGTTGGCTGTTCCCAGCCCGGGGCACTGCTGCACTGAAGCTAAGGCAGCTGGAACAGTAGGCTCGGCCACAATTCTTACAGCCGTTCTATAGGAAATATGAAGCAGGGTTATCCACCTCTCAACTGCCCTTGTGGGCTCCTCCCTGGGACCCTCTGAGCATGCGCGTGCGTACACACGAAGACACTGAAGTTGTGACTAGCTCCTGGGAAGAGGATGAAGAGTAGAGCCCCTAAGGCCTAGGGAGACACAAGGGTGGAGGGTAAAGTGATTCCTCAGTCTCCAGTTTTTTATTCAAATCAAGTAAAGCTTCATGGAAAATTCCCATGCTTTCTTTCTACCCTGTCTTCAATTCCCTGACACTGGAGTGTAGAGGACAAATAGGCAAAGCCTGTTGGTCACTGACTCTTCAACAAAGGAGAATCAGAGAAAGTGGAGAGCTCATGTTGTCTCTACTCTAGAGGACATGGAGGGAAGCTTGGCTCAGGATGGAATGATAACAATAGCCTCCATTTATTAAGCACTTACTGTGTGTCAGGCACTAAGCTCAGTATTTAACATTCATCAACTGATTTAATGCTCACAATTTCTATACACTATTTTACTTAATCTTGATGCCCTATTTTAGGTGGGGTCAGAGAGGTTGTGTGACTTGCCCAAACAAAGGTCACCCTGTGAATGAGAGGGATAGCTCATTAGAGCATTCTACTGATACTCCAAGGTTGTGGGTTCAATTCCCAGTCAGGGCACATACAATAATCAACCAATGCATGCATAAATAAGTGGAACAACACTCTCTCTCTCTCGCTCTCCATCTCTAAAATCAGTAATAATAATACGACGCTAAAATTTGAACCCTGACCACCCTGATTCCCAAATCCAGGTTTATAAGTACTATACGGATCTGCCTCCCCACGTGCTCTTTTTTCATGCTGTCTGGTTCCTATCTCCTGGTCATAGCTGAGGCAGAGGAAACCTGCAGTTTACCAGGGAATCTTGAACGGCCTGGGCTGAAGACAGGAGAAACATTGCTATGGTGCCCTGAGGGCGGGAGAAACGCTGGTAATCTAACTCAAGAAGCTTGGGAAGGGCAGGATGAATGACTGTGAAAGTTTCAGAGCAAAGAGAGTAACAGGGCATGGTGTGAGAGAGTGTGATCACAGGGCTGCGGAGAAGCAGGCTTGAGAAGAGGAAACAGCCGGATCCTATACTTGGCAGACAGAAAAGTCTAGCTTTCCAAAAACGACAGGGGCGTGCTTTACAATTTACAGATAACTTTTACCTCCAGCACTTCATTGGAGCCAGAACTCCAGCCCCGTAAGCAAATGGGAGTGCTAGTCCCATTTTACAGAAATGGAAACTAAGGATCAGTGACTTAATCAAAACCATACTGCTGGAAAGGGGCGGTAAAACCAGTCTAGGGGCTGCAAGTCCCGTGTTTTTCCCTCCACTCCGCCCCCCAGTCCACGGGGAGAGATGACTTGCCTCCTTCTTGAAGAAGGTGAACTTGACAGCGCAGCCGTAGCACCTACTCTCCATCCTGATTCCCGGCGTGGCGCGGCAGGGTCTGCGGAATTGAGATCAAGCCGGCAACGTTCAGGGCCCCCTGGACCTTCACCCTGTTCCGCCCCTCTCCCCCACGCCCACTCGCGCGGGCCAGCTACGGTCTCCCGCAGAGGAATCGTGACCCGCCACCCCAGTCGGAGAGCAACAATGGCGGAAGCGGGGGCTCCTGGGAGTGGTAGTTCATTCGCGACGGCCGGCTTCCTTCAGAGGCAGTCAGGCTCGACCCAGAACACATTTCCCAGAGGGCTAAGCGCCATTCAGCCGGGTCGGGGCCGACTGTCCCCGGGAATCCCCGCGCACGTTTAGACTTGGGAGTTGTAGTACGAATCCAGTCAGGGTTGGAACCATGGCGGTGACCAAGGAGCTCTTACAGATGGACTTGTACGCGCTGCTAGGTATTGAGGAGAAAGCGGCGGACAAGGAGGTGAGAACGGTGGCGAGGAGAGCCAGTCTCGAGAGGTCTGGCAGCCTTTCCTGTCTCGGGGCCTAACCCGCAGCTGGTACCCGCTTTCCAGGTTCGACCGGGCCCTGGGCCGGTAGCGAGGCGTGGCCTGGCGGCCTCAGAAGTTGGGCTCCCGGTCCATTCCAGGGTCCTCTGGGAACCTCACGAGGAAGAGGGGATCACAGAAGGGAGGCTCGTTTTGCGGGGTACTCTGCTGTCCCTCAGGCCCTTGTCTAGAAGAGGCGGCAGGGTGAACCTGGAAGGGAACCCTAGCCGCCTCCCTGGGCCGGCGCAGGAGGATGGCCTGTAATTCCGTTTGTCTTCACTGTGGCTGTAGATATTTAAGTCTCTTCTGAAAGCTGATTTAACTCCACTTGGAGCCTACGTCTCAAGGCTCCTCCACTTCTTTTGCACTCCCTCCGTGACGTTGACACCTCCGACTCTGCCGTCTCTGTTTTCTTTTTCGTCTCAGCCCATTGACTTTTTTCAAGCAGCAGATGCCGAGGTGTTGTCCTCTCAACATTTGCTAGTGCGCCAGAAGCAGGAGGATCAGAAGGGTAAGGCAGAGGGACTGAAATTCCACAGGAAGTTGGTGATAAAGGTGCCAGGGAATGGGACACTGAGCGAGCCGTTATTAAGAGCCTGCTGCTCTTTTTTTTTCATGAGTCTGGTTAAAGATTTGTCAATCTTGTTTAGCTTTTCAAAGAACCAGCTCTTGGTCTCATTGATCTTTTGAATTTTTTTAGACCATATTTTACTTCTGTCCAATTTTCCCAACACCATTTATCAGATAGACTGCCTTTGTTCCATTGAATGTTCTTGCCTCCTTTGTCAAATGCTGTTAATTTCTATTATGTAACCTTGGATCACGGTTGGTAGTTGTAGCATCGTAGGAAGGGGAAGTAACACCACACTGCTTTCCACAGGGGCTGCACCAGGCTGCATTCCCACCAACAGTGCACCATGGTTCCCCTTTCTCCACATCCTCACCAGCAGCACTGGTTTGTTGATTTATTGATGATGGCCATTCTGACCGTGTGAGGTGTTATATCTTTGTGGTTTTATTTATTTATTTATTTAATCCTCACTTGAGGGCATTTTTTCATTCCTTTTAGAGAGAGAGGAAGGGAGAGAGAAACATCGATGAGAGAGAGAATTATTGATTTGGTTGCCTCCCATTCCATCTGGGGTTGGGACTGTACATGTCCAGCCTGGACCAGGACTGGGGATCCAACTGCAACCTAGGCATGTGCCCTGACCAGGAATCTAGCCAGGACCTTTCAGTCACAGGATAAGGCTCCAACCAACTGAGCCACACTGGCCAGGCCTGTCATTGTGGTTTTAATTGCATTTCTTGATAATTATTGACATTGAGCATCTTTTCATATATCTGTTGACCATTGTATGTCCTCTTGGTCCTCTGCTGACTTCTTTATTGGATTTTATTTTAGTGTTGAGTTGTATTAGTTTTTTATATTTTTGGATATTAACCCCTTAGCAGATGTGTCATTGACGAATATGTTCTCCCATTCACTGATTTTTAAATATTGTGCTGGTTTCCTTTGCTGTGCAAAAACTTTTTAGTTTAATTTAGTACCATTTTTTTTTTCATTTCCCTTGCCCTAAGAGAGATATCAAAAAAATATATTGCTATGAGAAATGTCTGAGATTTTACTGCTTATGTTTTTTTCTATCTAGGATGTTTATGATTTTCAGTCTAACATTTAAGTCTTTCACCTATTTTGAGTTTATTCCTCTGTTTGGTGTAAGAAGGTGGTCTAGCTTTATTTTTTTGCATGTATCTGTCCAATTTGCCCAACACCATTTATTGAATAGACTATCTTTACTCAATTGCATGTTCTTGCCTCCTTTGTCAAATACTGTATTATTTGACCATGAAGGCATGGGTTTATTTCTGTGGTTTCTATTTTGTTCCATTGATCTATATATCTGTTTTTATGCCTGTATTTTGTTTTGATTACTATGGTCCTGTTGTATAGTTTGATATCTGGTAGTGTGACTCCTTCAACTTTGTTCTTCTTTCTCAAGATTGCTGTGGCTATTCTGGGTCTTTGATGGTTCTGTATAAATTTTTGGAATATTTGTTCCAGTTCTGTGAAATAACGCCATTGGTATCTTGATAAGACTTGCATTGACTCTATAGATTGCTTTGGTTAGTATGGACATTTTAATGATGTTAATTCTTCCTATGCATGAACATGGTATATACTTCGACTTATTTTCATGTTCTTCAATTTCTTTCTTCAGTTTCTTATAATTTTCTGAGTATAGGTCTTTTACATCCTTGGTTATATTTATTCCTAGGTATTTTATTTTATTTTATGATTTTGTTTTATTTTTGATATATTTGTAAATGGGATTGTATTCTTAGTTTCCCTTTCTGATTGTTCATTATTGTTATATAAAAATGCAATTGATTTCTGGATATTTATCTTATGCTAATTTACTAAATTCATTAATGAGTTCTAGTAGTGTTTTGATGGAATCTTTAGGCTTCTTTATATACAGTACCATGTCATCTGCAAATAATGACAGTTTTACTTCTTTTCTAATTGGGATGCCTTTTATTTCTTCTTTTTATCTGATTTCTGTGGCTGGGACTTCTTATACTATGTTGAATAAGAGTGGTGAAAGCAGACATCCATGTCTTGTTCCCAGCCTTAAGGGAATCACTTGTAGTTTTTACCCACTAAGTATGATGTTGGCTGTGGGTTTGTTATATATGGCCTTTATTGCATTGAGGTATGTTTCCTATATTCCCACTGTGCTGAGAGTTTTTATCATAAACAGGTGGTAAATGTTGTCAAGTGCTTTTTCTGCATCTGCTGATTTGATTATGTGGCTTTTAGCCTTCATTTTGTTTATGTGGTGATTATTGATTTGTGGATATTGTATCAGCCTTGCATCCCTGGAATAAATCCCACTTGATCATAGTGTATGATCTTTTTAGTATGTTGCTGGATCCGGTTTGCTAATATTTTGTTGAGGATTTTAGCATCTATGTTCATCAGGAATGTTGGCCAATAGTCTTCTTTCTTTGAAGTGTCTTTATCTAGTTTTAGAGTTAGGATAATGCTGGCCTTGTAAAATGACCTTTGGAGTTTTCCCTCCTCTTGATTTCTTTTTCTTTTTTTCTTTCTTTTTTTTTTTTGGTAATAGTTTGAGAAGGATAGATACTGTTCTTCTTTGAATGTTTGGTAAAATTCACCTGTGAAGCCATCTGATCCAGGACCTTTGTTTATTGGGAGTTTTTTAACTACTGATTTAATTTCTCTACTTGTAATCTGTCTATTCAGACTCTCTGATTCAGTTTTGGAAGATTGTATGTTTCTAAGGAATTTATCCATTTCATCCAGATTGTCCATATGTTGGCAGGTAGTTGTTCTGTAATATTTTCTTACAATCCTTTGTATTTCTTAGGTGTCAGTTTTTACTTCTCTTCTTTTATTTCTGATTTTATTTATTTATTTGGGTCCTCTTTTTCTTGATGAGTTTGGTTAAAGGTTTGTCAGTCTTGTCTTGTCTTTTCAAAAAACCAGCTCTTGGTTTCATTGATCTTTTGTATTTTTTTTAGACTATATTTTACTTCTGCTCTGATTTTGTTTTTAATCTCTATCTGAAGATATGTTTATTGATTTTAGAGTGAAAAGAAGTGGCAGAGAGAGGGAGAGAGAGACATTGATGTGAGAGAGAAACATTGACTGGTTTGGGTATTGAACTTGCAACCTAGGTATGTGCCCTGATCAAAAATTGAACACCCAACTTTTTGATATATGGGAGGATGCTCTAAGCAGCTAAGCCATCCAACAAGGACTGCTCTAATGTTTATTATTTCTTTTTTTCTTCTCACTTTGGGCTTTGTTTGTTGTTCTTTCCAAGTTCCTTTAATTGTAAAGTTAGAATGTTTGGGGTTTTTTGTTTCTTTTTAAAAATATTTTTTAAGTTTATTGTTAGAAGGGAAGGGAAGGAGAAAGAGAGGGAGAGAAACATTAATGTGTAAGAGAAGCATTGATCAGTTGCCTCTCGCATACCCCCAGTTGGTGACCTGGCCCACAGCCCAGGTATGTGCCTTAATTGGGAATTGAACCAGTGACCTTGCGATCTGCAGGATGATGCCCAGCGCACTGCACCATAACAGTCAGGACTTTTTTGTTTCTTGAGATAGGCCTGTAACGCTATGAATTTCCCTCTTAGGACTGCTTTTGCTGTGTCCCATAGATTTTGGATTGTTCTGTTGTCATTTTCATTTGTTTCAAGATTTTTTTTATTTCTTCTTTGATCTAATTGTTAAAACATTCATTGTTTAGTAACGTGTTATTTAGCCTTTATGTCTTTGTGTTTTTCAGTTTTTTTCTTGAGATTGATTTCTAGTTTCATACCATTATGGTAAGAGAAGATGCTTGATATGATTTCAGTCTTCTTAAATTTATTGCGACTTGTTTTGTGTCCTAACATGGTCTATCCTAGAAAATTTTCATGTGCACTTAAAAAGAATGTATATTCTGCTGCTCTGGGGTGAAATACCCAGAAGATATCAATGAAATCCATCTAATCTCATGTGTCATTTAAGGCCGCTGTTTTCTTGTTGATTTTTTGTGTGGAAGATCTATCCACTGATGTCAATGGCATGTTAAAATCCCCTGCTGTGACTGTATTACTGTCAATTTCCCCCTTTATGTCCATTAAAATTTGTTTTATGTTTTTAGGTGCTCCTATGTTGGATGCATACATGGTTATGAGGGTTATATCCTCTTGTTGGGTTGTTCCCTTTATCATTATGTAGTGTCTTTCTTTGTCTTTTACTATTACCTTTGTTTCAAAGTCTGTTTTGTCAGATATAGCTATTGCTACCCAGCTTTTTTCCCTTTTCTATTTGCATAAAATATCTTTTTCTATCCCTTTAGTCTGCGTGGACCTTTCATTTTGAGGTGGGTCTCTTGTAGACAGCATATACATATATA